CCGGCAATTGGACATTCCCCGAGGAGTCCCGGATTAGAGAGGTTGCAGGACAGACTGAGGCCCCCCCCTCCTCCACCCCATGCATGGATTTTGTGCACTGGGCCTCTAGTTTTAAATAAAAGGTGCTATGTAATACCCTTTGTAATAAAAAATAAAATAAAAAAAATAATAAAAAAAATAAAGAAATTGAAATTTAAAAAAGAATAAATAAAAGGTGCTAAGACTTATAAGTCATTGAGGAAATGAATGTACATCAAACCACAGGGTGGTACCAACACTTACACTAAATAATGGAAATTAAAAAGGCAGGGAACACGAAGTCTTGGCAGGAATATGAACCTGCCAGAACCCTTGAACCAGGAAAGGTCGAGGAAATGTTGAGGCCACTAGGAAACTGCCCAGCCAATCTTTTCTAAATAAGGTCCCTCAAGAGCCCTGGTTGGGTGTCCCATTGGGCTGTTCAGAGCCAGACTATCAGGGGCCAATCAGGGGCCAGAACCTGGGTCCTGCCCTTTCTGAGTCAGGTGAGCAGACACATGAGACTCTGAGGATCAGGTGAGACTTGAGAACCTGTCTCCCCTTGAGCCCTCATCCTGGGAGATGAAGATCCAGGCATAGGGAAGGCCAAGCCCTAAATGTGGGTCCAAAGGTGTGAAAACCCAGAAGGCGGAAGCAGCTCCTTACTCACCACATCCTGTGCGTCTCTGCAGACTTCAGATGCAGACTTCCTCCATCTGCAGAGCAGGAGCCCTCAGAGCAGACGCCATGACGTCCATCCTCTCTGCTCTTCTCTGCCTCGGTCAGTTGTGGACATGGGGAGGGGTAGCAGGAGGGAGAGCAGGAGGGACAGGATGGTTACAATTCCTTGTTAATGGGGAACCTCGGGCTCAAGCAGCTCAAGTGGACCGGGCCCTGATGGGAAGGGAATCAGCTGAGACATTCGGGTGCAAATATCTCACAGGGACTCTCTTCCAGGGCTGAGTCTAGACCAGAGGACCCATGTGCAGGCAGGTGAGTCCTCCCCAGGCTCCATGTCCCTCCTCTTACTTCACCCCTGAGGCTCAGGAGGGGGCACAGAGGTGCTGGGATGAGGTGTTAAAATGAGAGGGTCTTGGTCTAAGCTGGGGGATGAGGGTGGGAAGGTCTTTTTAAATCAGCCTCTGGTTTCCTTTTAGGGAACCTCCCCAAACCCGCCATCTGGGCTGAGCCAGGCCCTGTAATCCCCTGGGGGAGCCCTGTGACCATCTGGTGTCAGGGTATCCTGGAGGCTCAGGAGTACCGGCTGTATGCAGATGGCAGTCCTCGGTACTTGGACAGAAAGAAATTGCTGGAGCCTGGAGACAGGGCCAAGTTCCTCATTACAGGAAACTATGCAGAGAGATATACCTGTAACTACCTCAGCCCCACTGGCTGGTCAGGGCACAGTGACCCCCTGGAGCTGGGGGTGACAGGTGAGAGGACATTCAGGGGTCCCAGCTTCAGGCTCTGCACTCAGGAAGGGGGTATGCTCTCAGGGTGTCTCCCTCTCACAGCT